GAAAATTAGCTACCTTGAATATTTAAATATTTAGAACTTGGGCATATCACAATATTTTAGGTATATTACAATTGGAAATATTTTAGAATTTTTGTTCTAAATATTTAAATATTTAAGGTAGCTAATTTTCAAAATTGCTATTTAAATTTCCAACATATTAGTAGCCTAATTGTGAGATACCTAATTTCTAAATAACTGATTTTACAAGATACCTAAATCTGTAATATTGACGCGCAATCTGGTAACAAAAATTCGAAAATACTTCCAATTGTAATATACTAAAATATTGTCATGTACCCAAGTTCTAAATATTTAAATATTCAAAGTAGCTAATTTTCAAAATTGCTATTTAAATTTCCAAGATATTAGTAGCGTAATTTCTAAATAACTGATTTTACAATATTTTAGGTATATTACAATTGGAAATATTTTCGAATTTTTGCGCGTCAATATTACAGGTTTAGGTATCTTGTAAAATCAGTTATTTAGAAATTATCTCTAGTACCTCACAATTAGGCTATCAATATCTTGCAAATTTAAATAATAATTTTGTAAGTTAGTTATCTTGAAAATTTTTGAATATTTAAAACTTGGACATGTTACACAATATATTTTTAGAATCCATTAAGCTTTACATTACATTATAGCGAGGGGCACGCTTGATTTAGAATTCACTTTCCTTCTCAACCATGGAATTAGAACACGACCCCGTGGAAATCGGCGAATACAAGAGCAAATCAACCGTGCCTCGTTCAGTAAGACTATTGCGAAGTTTCGAACGATTTTTGTTCGGCTATTTAGGAAGAAGAAACGAATGATGACTGACGAGCAATAGATTTGCGGAATCTACTTCATCCTTGGACTGTTTACGCTGTTTTCATCTTGAACAGTGTTTGTGAATACGCTGCTTTCAGAATATCTTCTAATATGTTTCTTAGAGAAGTTGAATGATATGTTAGAAAATGTTTAAATTATATTGAAGTAAAATATTTTTATTGGACAATTTTCGTGGAGTATTAAGTATTTATTAATAATTGGATGTATTCTTCGCGAGAAGTTATTATTAGTTTAAATTTTAGAGCAAGCTATTATAGTTTTTAATTTTAAGCAACAAAACTAATGAAAAAATTCTTCTTCAAAGAATGACTCGAATGGTTGAAACATTGAATATTTTCCAAGAGAAAATTCTCTTGGTAGAAAGAATTCGTAACAAGTATCTGAGTGAATAAAAATCAGAGATACTCTAGAAATTACTCTACTGGCATACTTTTGATAACGAAAATGATTGGAAAGTACTATACTTCAGATATTTCTAGCGAAGCATTTCGATATCGTTGGAAAGTGTTTGATGTGCCAGAAATTGCACAAAGTGAAAGAAGAGACGTTTTTTCACTTTGTTTCGTTCTAGTTTCTTCTTCAAGCGAGAAGTGTAGATTATGCTGGAATTACATGAAACTGGGGCATGAAATTTTGAAGTAACGTCCGATCAAAGACAGTTGAGTAACCCGAGGAAGAGTATCAAAAGACACGGGGATGATAATCGTTGTTCGTTGCGTCTAACTTTTACGTAAGATGCTTTATCGATGAGAGTAAAGTCGCGTCTAGGAGAATAAAAATTTAAATTCCATTCCATTTGTCATTATTCTGTCCAATCTATACGCTTTGAGTATTAGAAATTGCAGACATTTGTTAGAACAGTTCCACGAATTTTTACACCATTACCATGCAACTTTAAAATAAAATGGCACTAATGTCCAGAAGTATACTACGATACTAAAATATTAATACCACGATACTAAAAAGTAGTTTACTCGTTCGAATACTGTTGAATACTCGTAGTGTAAGAGAAATAATACGATGATAAATATCAATACCATCAACTATTAGAAATTGCAGACATTTATTAGAATTATTTTATAATTTTCTACGCTATCGCAATATTTACCACGCAACTTTACAATAAAATGGTACTAATGTCCAGAAGTATACTACGATACTAAAATATTAATATCACTAAAAAGTAGTTTACTCGTTCGAATACTGTCGAATACTTATAGTGTAAGAGAAATAATACGATGATAAATATCAATACCATCAACTATTAGAAATTGCAGACATTTATTAGAACTATTTTATAATTTTCTACGGTATCGCAATATTTACCACGCAACTTTACAATAAAATGGTACTAATGTCCAGAAGTATACTACGATACTAAAATATTAATATCACTAAAAAGTAGTTTACTCGTTCGAATACTGTCGAATACTTATAGTGTAAGAGAAATAATACGATGATAAATATCAATACCATCAACTATTAGAAATTGCAGACATTTATTAGAACTATTTTATGATTTTCTACACTATCGCAATATTTACCACGCAACTTTACAATAAAATGGCACTAATGTCCAGAAGTATACTACGATACTAAAATATTAATACCACGGTACTAAAAAGTAGTTTACTCGTTCGAATACTGTTGAATACTCATAGTGTAAGAGAAATAATACGATGATAAATATCAATACCATCAACTATTAGAAATTGCAGACATTTATTAGAACTATTTTATAATTTTCTACACTATCGCAATATTTACCACGCAACTTTACAATAAAATGGTACTAATGTCCAGAAGTATACTACGATACTAAAATATTAATACCACGGTACTAAAAAGGAGTTTATTCCTTTAGAAAAAATATTTCAAAAAATGTCGTAGTACGCGGTTCGGAAAAAAATGGGAGGAAGTGTATTACAGAGCGTTGGAAAGTAAACGCCGCAACTCGTAATAAGAGTAACTGTATAATTTTCTGGCGAGTGTCCAAAGGCGTGGCATCGATCGTTTTTTTAAAACCTGTACGGCCGTTCGCGATACAGAATCGGGGAAAGTCGTTCGCCATGGAAACGAGTCACGGCCGATGTGCCGGTTTTACGTAAGGTGAAAATCGTCTTTGAGGCGAGCGGGCGTCACCGCGGATGCAAAGGAGAGAAAGAAACCGAGCTACCGTGCCTGCGATCCCCGCGAATCACATTTTTTCACGCAACTGCGCGTTTTTATTCTATTGAAAAATAGAAAAAAAAGGAAAGAAACACTTTCTCGACAACGTTGGAAAACGAAGAGAGAAAGAGAGATTTCAAAGTCTACCGAGAGTCTCTGGATTTCTGGACGTGCGCGCTCGTCTCTCTCGCGAGCGGTGGAGACGTGAAATTCCGGACGAGTCCTCGACGAGAGCGGTTACGGTACAAGGGACGAAAGAGCACGGCTCATCAGGAATTGCACGCACGTTAATGGCGGCCGTGTTCCTCGATTTCGTATTCACGGCGAGAGGGAAACGTTCGGTGGACGTTCTCGCGACAAGCAGAATACCGCGATCCGGGCCGGTTCATTTCTATTACGAGACCTGACGAAATTTTGTCTCTGTATTCTTTGTGCCTCCATACTGAATCCGTCTATTGTTCTTTTTATATTTAGAAAAAAATAAATAAACACTAAAAATAAAAATAAGAATAAATAATATATAATATATATATATATATAAGATAAATATATGTATATATTTAATATAAAATATAAATATATATATAAATAAATAAATACTAAAAATAAAAATAAAAGATATATAATATATATAAAATATAAATAAATATATATATTTAAAATAAATAAATACTAAAAATAAAAATAAAAATAAATAATATATAATATATATAAAATATAAATATATATATATATATATAAATAAATACTAAAAATAAAAATAAATAATGTGTAATATATGTAAATATATATATAAATAAATAAATAAATACTAAAAATAAAAATAAATAATGTGTAATATATGTATATATATATATAAATAAATAAATAAATACTAAAAATAAAAATAAATAATATAAAAATATATATATATATATATATACACCACGTGGATCAACGTAGACGTGATTGAAATTTATTTATTTAATATTTGTTCGACGTTTTCTCCTCCATAATCACGAAGTGAATTCACGCAGTCGTCCGTTATCAACGAATTTCACTTTTTCATCTGGTTGTTTCGTAAAATTTGTCACTACTCGGAGCAGAAAGGTTCGCTCGGGGGCAGGGATCGCTAAGACGCGAAAGAAGCGTCTGTGGCCGTGCCGAAAACAGCGATTCCGTTGGCCGTTTCGTCGCTGGCATCGAGGCACCGTTACCCGATCGCGTTTCGACGTGCTCGACCTGAATTAATTCCGCTGCAACGCGGCCATTGTGTCCCTCTCGACGAGGACTCTCGAGCGCGCCGCTGTCGATCCGCTGCACATGTTCGAATATTCATCGATCCGAATGATGATCGAAGTTCTGATCCCCTTCCAGCGGAACTTCGTTCCAGCGAAATTTCTTGATAATTTCCTCGCTAGCTGGCCTCTCTCCGAAATCTTAATCCATTTAGTTTGGGATTTCCTGGAGGGAAACGGGAAATTAATCTACTTAGGATCGCGTTGGATTTTGGAGAAAAAGAAATTGATCACTTAGAGAAAATTAATTTTCCATTGACAGAGAGTATCATCTCCAGCGATGATTACTCGCGTTTCACGTACGATCAGTTGTCGAACGTGGTTGTTTCGCAAGACTAATTGCTTGTAATTGATCGGGCAGACGCAATCGTCGGGCCGAATGCGAGTGATCGATCAGAAAATTCCTGGTTTTCAAGACGGGCGAATAATGGATGGTAATAATGCAACTGATGCTAAGCGATGCTATAATTGCGAGTAAATTGCACGGAGGCGTACTGGAATCTCTCTCTCTCTCTCTCTCTCTCTCTTTCTGCAAAGTGAATTCGTCTCTGTCCACTTGGAAACTTCGTGCACTTCCTCTCTCGAATCTGAAACCTATCCTCTAAGTTACTCTTTTTCAAAATTAAATTTGCAACATTTCTATTTCAACGACGCTGCACAAGTAAGACACGAGCAAGATTGAAAATTAACTTTGAAACAAATTTCTGTCTGTTACAGGCTGAAGGAATTGACCGTAGCCATGAACCTCGCGCTGCATGGATTTTTGTTGCAGGGTGAGTCTCGTCAATCTTCATAAGAATGTTATTTATATTAAAAATAGTAATCCCCCAACGCAGAGGAACGTTGTCCGCCGATTTTCTCGATACGATCAATTTTAAATGGGGATAACGAAGTGTGAATATTCATGTAATGTTCGCGTTCGCGGGTTTGCACACTCATGTGCTCGAAATAATGGATATGCAATATGGTGCATCGCGGGAACAATGCATCCGAGGAAGGAATACGCAGCTACGGATCGAGGGTTGACCTAACTCAACTTGCCCCGTTGCATACAAGGTCCTCGAAAGTCGTAGGGAAATCGAACAATGCATGCAACTGGCCGCATCAGACCATGCACCACGCGCATTTTCGTACTTTATCGCCCTGCCATACCATTTTTTTCTTTTAAATATAAGTTTCCTTCTCTTTCTCGCAATATGGAGAATTATACCGGATTTTTAATTATGAGAATAATCACTGACACGTAATAACATCGAAGGAATTTATTAGAAAAGGCAGAGTAGACGAAGCAAGACTCAATTAAAACCCGGATGAAATTTACAATTAAAATTCGCGATCTCGGTAGGTTCGCTGGCAAATTTATCACTGTTGCGCAAGAGGATTTATTGTCATTCGCCCAGTGACTTGTGAAATCTCGCTAATGACGTACGAGAAGCTCCCGCGATAATTTGAATATATAACGCCGGCGTGAAATTTCGAAACGACCCCGCCCCCAGAAATTCGTGTTTCGTTACAGTTCCAAGCGTCACGTCCAATTAACGATTGCCAGCCACACCTGAATTCTACTTGACAGTCGCGAAACAGGAGAAATGAAGTAACCGGCGGTTGATTCTTGAGCAATTAACCGTCGTTTGCAACGTACGGAATGGCGCGTACAATGCATACGTGTACGCGCACCGAAACTATTAGCGATTCCACTGCACGTACGAGATCCTCTCCTTTCCTCTCATCCGCGCGATTCATTCGCGATTCTCGTATCGCGGCCGGCGCGGCGCGGCGCGGCGCGGCCTACGATCTCGTGTTTACGTTCACGTAGGAAACACCTTGACAACTCGACACGAAAACCCAGTTAACACCGCGGGGACGTGGTCTGTGTAATCTCACCGATTAGGTACGCTTCTTTCCTTTTTTTTTTTTTTTTTGGTCTGAAAGAGCTATTTAAATTAATTTCCTAAAAAGTTCGTCACTCTTGGTGATGCTTTTGTTCTTTTCTCGATCATTTCGATATTTTAGTCCATTTCCTTCTTTCTTTTTTTTAATTTTGTATTACCGTGTATGCACAAGTAACACCAGCGAGGCTTAAAAAATTATTTCCCCTACGACAAATCTGCAGTAATATGTTTGAAGCTCTTTGAATCTCTCTGTAGATGTTTCCCGTACGATTCGCTATATATAAAAATGCCCCATTGTACAGTATACAGGCTTTAAAAAACCAAAATCAAAGGCTTGCTATCCTCCGCGAGGAACAAGGCTCGCGAGGAGGAAGATAAGTCGACCGTGGACGGACGTAAAGGATTTTCTGGGAAGGCTGGAGGATGTACGGAGCCGTAATAAAATCGCAAACAAGTGGATGTACACTGTTGTTCAAAAGTTTGGAATCTCTGCGCGTTCCACGGAGTCTTCGCAACTAAAAAAGCTGTTGTTGCTCAGAAATGTTATCCTCAGAGCAGCAGCTCTCTGTCTTGGAAAATTTTGCTAAAGGTGGATTTGAAAATTGACGCGAGACGATAACGTGAACGATAAACGATCAAGGAAATTAAAGCTGATCGAAGTAATTTTCAAGTAATTTCTGTGTTTGTATGATGTAAAATATACAGAGAAGCTCCAAAGAAACGGTAGCAAAATTATTCTGACTCTCAACAGCTTCGGCAACTTTAATTTTAATTTTAGCAGTAAATTTCGGGAAATTTGGCAAAATCTGAACGTCGCGAGCAGAGATCGATTTGCGAAGAGCAGTGTACAAGCACGTCCCACGTGTTTCGGCCGCGATGCATACGTTTTCACGGACGGATGTCCTACGAGACTGCATTCCTTAACCCGATGCAACTTCCATTTAGCTCCTACGTGAATGTAAATACGCGCTTGTACAGAGGTGGTATTCGCAGGTTTCGCGCCCGGTGGTCCAGAGACGCGGCGTTTCCAACTGGCGGCAAATGGCCAGTGCAACGAATACAAATCTAGTCGTTTCGCGTCCAGACGAGTCACGGGAATTTTATGAAACGTTCGCTCGAGGCCTCAGATACGAGAGGCGCGCGTCTCGTATTTCCTCGCGGATTCCTTCACAGTCGAGATTAGAGATTTTTTACGCACAGCGGAATTTACGAAACGCTTTCGTATTCCCTGGATATTTTGTTTCATCTCGTATCGCGCCTGAGATTTAGAGGGTATTCGAGTCGTAAAAGACGCGAGAGAGCGCCTCCACGCTTTGCCAGGACTCGCTATAAATAGAAAATGCTACGGGTTGAATGCTAGAATCGTTAAAAATTGGAACCTGACGTCGCTGAAGATTTTTTAAAGTCACGGAAAAATTAAATAAATAGAAAAGCTAGAATCATTAAAAATTGGAACCTGACGTCGCTGAAGATTTTTTAAAGTCACAAACAAATTAAATAAATAGAAAAGCTAGAATCGCTAAAAATTGGAACCTGACGTCGCTGAAGATTTTTTAGTCACAAACAAATTAAATAAATAGAAAAGCTAGAATCGCTAAAAATTGGAACCTGACGTCGCTGAAGATTTTTTAAAGTCACAAACAAATTAAATAAATAGAAAAGCTAGAATCGTTAAAAATTGGAACCTGACGTCGCTGAAGATTTTTTAGTCACAAACAAATTAAATAAATAGAAAAGCTAGAATCGTTAAAAATTGAAACCTGACATCGCTGAAGATTTTTTAAACTCACGGAAAAATTAAATAAATAGAAAAGCTAGAATCGCTAAAAATTAGAACCTAACGTCGCTGAAGATTTTTTAAAGTCACAAACAAATTAAATAAATAGAAAAGCTAGAATCGTTAAAAATTGAAACCTGACATCGCTGAAGATTTTTTAAACTCACGGAAAAATTAAATAAATAGAAAAGCTAGAATCATTAAAAATTGGAACCTGACGTCGCTGAAGATTTTTTAGTCACAAACAAATTAAATAAATAGAAAAGCTAGAATCACTAAAAATTCAAACTTGACGTCGCTGAAGATTTTTTAGTCACAAACAAATTAAATAAATAGAAAAGCTAGAATCACTAAAAATTCAAACTTGACGTCGCTGAAGATTTTTTAGTCACAAACAAATTAAATAAATAGAAAAGCTAGAATCACTAAAAATTCAAACTTGACGTCGCTGGGGATTTTTTAAAGTCACGAACAAATTAAATGTTCGAACATGTATGCATCGGTTATATTTTCTATCCTTCGATAATGAATTGACCAATGCGATACACATGACACACGTAATAAAACAAAAAAAAAAAAAATTGCAAATGAAGATGGAAATAAGAACGATGGCGCAAATTACAGTGAGAAAGCGTATGGACGGCCTTAAAGGAGGTCGGACAGATCGGCAATAAAAGGCAAGCATTCGAGAGTTTCGTAGACAACGGGTGACTCATTGATCATTTTATTCGCGTTGCGACTGCGAGGGCGGTTTTCGCGCAATTTTCGATAAGGAATAATCACTTTCGGTCGGAAACGCGTCCGTGGGAGGATCTTGCGACAGTGCAAATTGAAATTTTTCACCGATGATTCGTCCCTCACGTGTTGCTATTAATTCCTTCGCAAAGGGAAGCGAATCATTAGGATCTCAGGTGAAGATGGTCCGAAACGACAGAACACTTCGCTTCATTCGTTAACTCGCGTGTGAAATTTCAGTGAAATTTCTACATCCGTCGAACATCATCTCGGCACGGAAAATCGACGAGAGGAAAGTAGCAGAGGGGATTTAATTTGCGGCGACTCAATTAACGAGATCTGGAGACCGTTCGCAAATCTGTCAGAGTGATTTCAAAGGAAATACGCGCGCCAACCGACGATAGTCGCTGCTGAATAAGTTAGCGAGCGGATCGACCAGATTAGAAACGTGGAGTTGCGACTTGATCTGGCGAATGTTTCTGAGAGTCATGCGTTCGAATCGACGGAACGAATTGACACGTATTGAGTCAAACTCAGCCATTAAAAATCGGTTAGGATTCTAATGTTCTTAACCGATATTTAAGTTATTAAATGGAATAAAGATAAAATACAGATTGAATTTAACCCTTTGAACTCTACTGTCACTTCTGAGGATATAATTCGTATTTAAATCTAGCAAACAGCTTGGATTTCCCCTTTTCATAATCTGCTGATAATTACAACGAACGTGTACGTTTGGTGTTGCGTGTATGCGACGTATGTACAGCAGTGTAACATCTGAACAGAAGCCTAGAGTGAAAGCTATAATAACCGCGTCGGAAGAACAAAAGAATTTCAAAAGAAGAAACTTCTGATTGTGAGTCAATTGACACCGAATAACTCGCATAAACTAGACCTCTTGTTGCCTTCTTGCGAAAGTTTAAGAAATGGCGGAGGACATTGTTTTTTTCCAGAGTACGCTCTTGTATATTATACTTGTTCCAGCAACACCTAACACGTCGACGATCGCTTTAAATTTAAAACGATGTCGCGCGTCAGAAAGCTATGACCAACAAAATTTCGTTAACGTTAAAATACGAATGATTATTTCCAATGCTGTGCCATTTTATTTGAAAGGGATACGTTTGTCCACGGCAAATTGGTTAAATGGCATCGCTCGATATCGAAACGATGACCAAAGCGGGAGGCAGACGAGTGAACGATGGACAGAAATTGGCGGCGAATGATTCATTCGCGAATCGGGTTGAATCATTTGTACGTGCGTTTAAGATGCGAGGGCGTGCGTTCTGTTGTCGCCACGCATGGAAACGAGCAAACGTTTGATCGCCGGGTGGAGAAGAAAGAAAGTCTCTATCGGACGGCGAGCGAA